GATAATAAGTGCACCTCTTCTATAGTCTTGCAGAAAATGGAGCATGCTCTACTGTATTGCAGAAAATGGAGCATGTTCTACAGTCTTATAGTAAATGGAGCATGTTCTACTATATTGCACTTTGTTCAGCACAACATCATAAAACTCATTCTGCATAACCAAAAGGAGTAACTGACATTTTCAACATCACTGCATCATATTCTGTCACATAGATACACCATGATGTATCTAAAAGTTGCCCCCTTGGATTGACATTTGAGTCTTTTACCCCATTCATATTTTCATATGATTATAAACATGCTATATGTAGAACTGACTTATATGAATATACATATACTTTTCTGCTTTAGAAGTTTATTTTATGTGCATGGGTAAGTTTTGTCTGCGTGTATATCTGTGATATATTACTGCAACAGTGGCATAAATGTTATGGGACTAACCAACCACTTCATGAGATGGAATCCACATTTGACAATGTTAATAAAGCCAAGAATCTGAAACTAGATAGGTTATGTGTGCATGTTTGGTTATGGTTTGGTAGTTTCTTTTTTGTTTTTATTTTCATAATGAGAGAAAGAAAATTAATTTGGTGGGTAGAAAAAGGAGAAGGATCTAGGAGGACTTGGGAGAAGGGAAAGAATGATAAAAATATATTCTATGAAAAAACTTTAAAAATAAAAAATTAAAAATATTTTATATACATGAATGTTTTGTCTGCATGTATATCTGCATAACATGTATGAGCCTCATGACCTTAGAGGTCATCAGACCTCCTGGAACTGAGCTTAGAGGCAGTTGTGAACCACCAGGGTGCTGGGAATTGAACTCAAGTTGTCTAGAAGAGCACCCAGTGCTCTTAACTGCTGAGTCATGTCTCCAGCCCCATTTATACATAAGGACATGTGCATATTTATCTATAGGATAACTTCCATTAAAAAAGTTATTTTCTTACAGGGTGATTGCAAATTTAGGCAGGTAGTGTCTAATTCTCTTCTGTAGAGTTTGTTCTATTTTATACCACCAGCAACGATGCTTCAGTTCTCTTTCTCTCTCCATGTGTGCACGTGTATGTGCATATGTGAGTCTATGTCACACGGGTGCAAGTGCCCATAGTCGCCAGAAGAGGGTACCAGACCTCATGGAACAAGACTTACAGATGGTTGTGACCTACCTGGTATGGGTGCTGGGAACCAAACTTGGGTCTTCTGCAAGAGAAAGTGCTCTTAGCCATGGAGTTGTCTCTCCAGCTTAAACTCCAATTCGTAATATCAAAATAACGGGCTCTATGACTTTACTATGGGCCCCTAAAAGAAAGAAGCTCTATTTCTATAGAAGCCACTAAAATAGAAGGCACAGAAATGATAATGGGGTGTGCACTTACTGTTGAGAAGCTTACATAGGCTCAAAATGTGAAGAGTGCATGCAGGAGCCCATTGAAGAGGTTTTGTTGAGCTTTATCCCCATATCAGAATTCAAGTATTCTGTCTCCTAGATGTGTGTCATCACTGCAACGCCACAGGGTCCTTCCTATAACTAATACAGTGAGTGCTGTGATGTCCTTTGTGGGTAGCACTGGCAGGCTGGACCAGAACAGTGGTAGGGCAGATGGCAAAGGGTCTGACTAGGGAGACATCAGTTAGCAGAATTGACTGTGATGGAGAAGGAACTCCTGAGCCTTTTGGGACTTCCGTAAGGTTTAAAAGGAACAATATTTAGAAGAATATTTAATATATAATAGGCTTCAACACCAACTTTCTTCTTTGCCTTTCTGAAAATATCAAAGAATTAAGAAGGAAACCCCAAGCAAGGACTTCCAAACAGGATTTATGTCACAACTTCTATACAGTAAAACTACCTTACTATACTTATAAAAGCTCTTAAGATGTACTTAGAATTCATTTACATGTAATTGAAAAAATGCTGTGTTGTTTAGCTTTTCATTCTACATAGTAGTAGAAACATAGGGTCAAATCATTAACTGATTGAATTACAGAAAGCAAAGGTTAAAAGACCAGGAAAAAGGCACATTAGCACTACAACAAAGGCGCTTAGTAGGCCTGAGTGGCCACCTTGCACAATGTCACCTCAAGTCAAGCTGTCAAGAAAAGGTTAATAGAAGAGAAAGGATTTACCAGATATAAGTGGGTGGTAAAGCATGTGCTTAGCATGTATGAGGCCTTGAGTTTAATTCTCAGTATCAAAATAGAAAAATAATAGACCTCAGATTAAAAGGTTACCTATCTCCCTGTATGAAGAAAGTAGGCCACTGAGGTACTTTTACTTACCCTTCTCTCTACAATTTAAATGGTTGAGATGTCTATGTAACACATCAATGATTTTATGAAGATTTACATCATCAAATATAAAATATAATTTTGACCCTCAATTTTAAATCTTAGTTACCCATAAAATTGGTCATCCATTCTTTCATCTATTTTACTGAGAACTGCTAAACATACACAAAAACACTTAAGTGACTTAAAATTATATGTTAAAAGTACCATTCATAGAATGAGCTAAATTCATATTAATTTTTCAGTAAGTCTCTGTGGTAGGTTTATTATCATTGTAACTGACTTTAATTTTAGAACCCTCTAGAATGGAGAATTCATTCACCCCTTCCAAAACAGACAGAATATAAAATTGTTGAGTCAGCAATTACAAAGTTGAAATCCCTTGAAAAGACAGAATCTTACATTTCTATTTGAAATTTCAATTGCGACACTTTGACTCATAGTCTCTTTTGTCAGCCGTAGCGAGTGTAATTTACTTAGCTAATTTCACTAGTAGATTCTGTTCTTTCAGGGCACAGAGAAATAAGAATCATAAATGTGCTATTACTGCCTGCTTTTGTATCTAATTTCATAGCCTCACAGTTTAAAAAATAGAAAATATATTTAAAAGTACAAATTAATTGCACTCATTTTCTGGAAGTATTTCAACATGATTTCTTTTATTAGAGCCACCAAATCTATTTCATGGAGTTTATGTAGATATATGTTGGCATGATGCAGACGTAACAGTAACAATAATGGCAACAATAACAAGGCAGTTACCATTTATTTATTGATTAGTGCCTACATGGTATCATGTTGAGAGCTTTGAAATAGATTATTACTATTATAGATTATTACTGAGCACATTTTAAAAGAAGGAAGTATTATTATTCCCATTATATAAAGTTGAAAACTGAGGTTTAAGAGATTATCTTGTTTATTCATGTTACCAGTTTAATGGAACTAGAATTCAACATATGCATTTAAGTTGTTTCAAATCCAGTAAAGAAATAATCTATCATCTATATGCAAAAACAATTTCTTTTACCTGTTAGCTCTGTTTTATTACCCTAGCAAGTAAAAGGATTAAGCTAGTAAGAAGCAAGAGATATAGTTATGTGGTTTCTTTAAAAATGTAGATTTTAGAATCACTTTCTCTAATGTGTGTGTAATATCCTCTTCAATTAGTCTTTCAACCGTTATAGGGTTTATTTTGGTATATATACTCATGAAAACTCATGTCCTACAATGGGGTATTCTCATCTTTCAAGGAGACTCTCTAAAGTTGAGTAGTTCTTACAGTGTTAAACGTCATATGCACCAGAATGACTACTAAAGCTGTCAAAGTAACTCTTCCTACAGAACCTCAATGTTATAAACATATTATCTATTTGTCTTCTTAGCATTCCTGAAAAAGCTATTGCCATTATTAGGCAATATTTCCATTATTATTAAAGGAAAGTGGTTAAAAAAATCTACAGAGGTTGATGAGAAAAGTGCTTTCTCTTCACCCTTTTCTCTTCAAAATGCTTGTTTTAACTCATCAGTAACAATCAAGTAGTTTGCTGTGTCTTCTACTGAAGGAGCATTGTAATTCAAATCCATTCAGTGCTGCCTCACTTGTGCAATTTGTTAGCCAAGATTTCATAGTGTTCTCTGCACCTATTTTAATGATATAGCACATTAACAACATTTCCACTCACTTAAAGCCATGTTTACTAACAGAGCCTTAGCACCTCCCAAAAAAAGCCTCAAAGACCAGTTTCACACATTCAAATTGTCTGAACAAGTAATTGATATGTACAGCATTAAGCTCTTTTTCAAATCAAGGTCTTTGCAGAGTTTTAGAATTATGTTTAAAAAAAAAGATTGGTAGAAGTATGTTTGATTGTGCAGAAAACACTCAAGGTCATAAGATGCCCATCCAATTTTTGCTATAACATGAAAGAGGTAACCAGGCTGATTTCTAGAGTTTTTTTTTTCTTTCTCTCTTTTTTGAATTTTCTTGAGGGAACATTGGAAACTTTGTTACAAAAGATGGGAAACTTATCAAGTGACAGGAAAATCAGGTCAATAGAGCTTAGAGGTGCCTAAATATAAGTGAAAATCAGTAAGTTTGTGGAAACTATACTGACTTATGTAATTTTTTAAAGCCCCTCAAGATAAGAAAACAACACGGATGTAAGAGAAAAAAAAAAAAAAGAAAAACAGCCCAAGAGGTGAGACAGTCATTTTGATGGGGGGGGGGGTGTCTAACTACACAATGAGGTCATCCTATCTCCCGGAAGTGACAAGTAATCACCTGCTTTGCACTAGCTCCGCCCCTTCCCTCAGAGGTCCCGCCCCTCCGCCAGAAGGCGGCCGGGTGTTAGGGGGCGTTTCTTCTAGAGCAAAGCTGAGAGCTGCAACGCAGAGGAAGGGGACCCCAAAACGTCTGGCACTGCCTCCTCCAGGGAACACTTTGGACCGCCTCACTCAGCCCAGCGGGATTCTGAAACGCCGAGGGGTCAACCTGATGGGTTTCGGGGTCAACGGAAGAGGGGAAGGGGAGCCCTGGCGGGGAGAACCCCCCGGTCCCCCGCCCAGCAGCTGAGGCACAGGAGGGCGGCCATCTTGGCCGGCAGGGTAGGGCCAGGAGGCTGCGGGCGCCGTGCGATTGGGGGGCTCGCCCGGAAGTGACGCCACCCGCCCGGAAGCGGAGGGGGTTCCCTGGCCCACTCCCCCCCGTTCGTCTGCTCCCCCGCTTCCTCCCCGCCCCCCTTCCTCTCCATTCGTTCCCCCCCTCCCCGGTCCCTGCCTTCTCCCCCCCACCCGTCCCTCCCCCCCCAACCTCCGGAGCTGGGAAGAGAGTCAAGATGGCGGCGAAATCCGATGGCGGTGGCGTGGGGGTGGGCTTCGCCCAGCTGCACAACCTGGACGAGGCGGTGGGCAGCGGCGAGGAGGACGGGGAGCCCGGGGGAGGCGGCTGCGGCGGCGGCGACGGCAGCGAGCCCGGCGAGAGCAGCTCGCTGCACATCTGCCACTGCTGCAACACCTCCTCGTGCTACTGGGGCTGCCGCTCCGCCTGCCTGCGCTCGCTGCTGGGCAAGAAGCCGCGCCGCAGCGCCGCCGCCGCCGACGGGGGGGACCAGCCTCTGCAGCCGCCCGGGGCCGCCGGCCGCCACCCCCCGACGCCCTCGGCCGGCCGACCGCAGCCCGCGTCGCCGCAGGTGGAGCGGCCGTGGCTCGACTGCCTGTGGATCGTGCTGGCGCTGCTGGTGTTCTTCGGGGACGTGGGTACCGACCTGTGGCTGGCCCTCGACTACTACCGCAAGGGGGACTACGGCTTTTTCGGGCTGACCCTGTTCTTCGTGCTGGTGCCGTCGCTGCTGGTGCAGAGCCTGAGCTTCCGCTGGTTCGTGCAGGACTACACGGGCGGCGGACTGGGCGCCGTGGAGGGGCTCAGCAGCCGGGGACCCCCAATGATGGGGGCCGGCTACGGCCACGGCGCGGCCCGCGGCGCCCCGGGTGCGGGGGGCTCGGCCACCCCTGGGGCGCAGCGTCTGTGCCGCCTCTCCGTGTGGATCTGGCAGTCGGTCATCCACCTGCTGCAGATGGGGCAGGTGTGGAGGTAAGAGCACTGCGGGGTGGAAGGAGGGGGGGGGGCTGCGGCCGCGCGCGGGCCCCTCGGACCCTGCCGGGCCGGGCTGGGTTGAGCGGGGTAGCGGCGCGCTGTCCTAGCATCTCGCGACGGTCAATAGGATGCCTGCTGGCCACGCCTTTTGGCCCAGGGGAGGCCCCTGTTTGCCCATCTCCTTCCCCGGGTAGCACTTGGAGGGGACCCTGCCTCTGCCCTCCCTCTTCTCTGCAGACCTCCATCCCGGTTGCCCCTTAACGCCCCCGTGTCCCAAGGTAACCGGCGCTCGCTCTCTGCAGCCCAGCTCGCATCCTGGAGGGAACCTGGCTTTCTCCAGCCGGTTGCCCTCGGCCTTGCTCCCCCCCCCCACCTCCCCTTCCCCGAGAGACATTTCCTTTCTCCCCCACCTCCCGTTTTCTCTCTGCAGTGGCCGGTGTCGGGCCTCTCCTTAAAGCACTCCTTCCTTTCACGCCCCTCCTCCTCCTGCAGCCCCAGCCCCTGCTAACGGCTCCACACCTCTGCCCTCCTTGAAGGAAAAATGACTTTAGATATGCCCTTTTTGCAGTGACGGGGAAAAATGAGATGCTATCTAATGGCAGCAAACATTTGATGTTAACTCTCACCTCTGGAAAATCACTGAGCCACTTGGGCACCTATTCTGTTTTTAATGGCCAGGCTTATGTGCGTTTTCTGTTTACATCCAAGATGCAAGCTTGGCCTCAAGGCCCCTTTCCTCCCTTCTGTAAAGTCCTGGTGCGTCAGGTGCATCTCTCGAAACCACTTGTCAAGGAACCTTAACTGTGTACCTCACCGACTGGCTACCCCACCGACTGCCTCATTAACTGTCTACCTTACCGTCCACCTCTCTGACTGATGGCTTCACTGTTTACATCACTGCCTCGCTGACTACTTTAACTCTTTACCTCGCTGACTACCTTCATTGTCTGCTCGCCTCCTCACTGTCTACCCTCACTGACTGCCCCAGTGCCTGACTCCCTCACTGTTTACATCACTGCCTCATTGACTACCCTTATGGTCTGCCTCACTGATGATCTCACTATCTTATTCTCTGACGACCTCACTGGCAGGCTACCTCACTGGCAGGCTACCTCACTGACGGGCTACCTCACTGGCAGGCTACCACCTCACTGACGGGCTACCTCACTGGCAGGTTACCTCACTGACAGGCTACTCTTTGGCAGGCTACCTCACTGGCTACTGCACTGGCTACCCTCCTTGCCTCATCCACTGACAGGCTACATCACTGGCTACCCTACTATCTACCTTTTCCACTGCCTGTCTACCTCACTAGCCCAACCAGCTAGATTTCTTCACTGTCTCTCTAACCACTTCACTAACTGATTGCTTTGCTGGTTGCATCATTCTCTCACTACCGTCTCTGTTTACCTCGCTGTCTTCATTGCCTGCCTCACTGTCTACCTCATTGTTTTCCTCATTGATTACCTTCACTGCTTACCTGACTATGGCATTGTTTGCCTCACCGGCTCACTGTCTGCTGACTGTCTCAGAGTCTGTCTGCCTACTGAATCCCTCACTATGACTGCCTTAGTACACCATTACCTTCACTGTCTGCTGACTAGCTCACTGTCTACCTACCCACCTCACTGGCTGCCATTGCTCTTCTCCCTGACCATCTCCCCGTCTGTCTGCTGATTATCTCACTGTCTACCGACTGCCTTGCTGTCTGCCTCGCTGCCTGGCTGATTCCTTTCACCATTTACCTCACTGACTGACTACTGTCGCTGTCTACCTTACTGACCGTCTGCTGTCAGTGTTTACCTCACTGGCTACATCAGGAAACCATTGAAACCTTAGTCACCCTGCGCCCTCCAACTTATATCAGCTTCAGTGTGTTCTGGAACCAATGACTTTGTCAGTGACAGCATTTGCAAGGGGAACAGTTTTTCTAGTAAAGCCTATACAAGGATGAATCCTTTTGCTACATTTCCTCTGAGGAGACTGGTCTAGACTTCTATGCCAAGTAGATACCAGACCTCAGTACCTCAGCTGATGAAACTGTACTCGGGTTAGATGAAAGAAAGTTTGTGTTTTGAATGTTTTCTTCTGATCTCTTCTGACTCATCAGAACATCTCAGAAAGCATGAGACAGAATTAAAGCCTTGTCCTGCGGAGTTGACGTTCTGACTCATGGAAAAGCTCACTTTCATGAGACTCATCTTGGTTTTCCAGGTTAATCCCAGTGACTATTTCCCTAGCTGCATTCGTCTGCAGATAATTTGTTTCCTGCTGATAAAAATTTACAAACAGGAGATTAAAATTTTTTGTTATGAGCATAGCTGGTCAAATAACATTTTCAAAATAAATCTTAACTTTAAAATTTTAACCCCTTCCCTAAATAATTGATGCTGAATCAAAGTGTGCTTGGCATTGGGGATATAGTTGTTCAGCCTGTTGGAGACTGGTATGAACAGTGGGGATCAAAAAGTATGGGTCTGAGAGCTATCTTGAACTGTTAGTAGGGATTTTATAGCATGTATTTAATAACTAGGCTTCTGTTTGAACAAACTGAAATTACTGTCTCCTGGTCTCGTGTAGTGTCACGTTAATTTTTCTGGGAAAATTAATTCTAATGTGTTCTATTCCATTATTTGGAAGTAAACTTTTGGGACCAATGAAATTAGAGTTCAGTGTCAGTATTTTTTGTCAGGATAATCTCCCCTGCCCATGCCTCTTTTAGCCAAACTTAATTGTGTCTGTGCAAAGTTGAAGTATAGATTGTGGGACAAACCGAAAAGTTTTAGATTTAGCTTTTAGAATTTAAATGGGGTGCTGTATTTGCTCCCCCATCTTCATATAACTTTTCAAAGTCTTCACTGGAAAGAAATTATGGAAGATGCCTGTGCTTTTAGTATGTCAAACTTTCAGATTGGATTTTATCTTTACATAGCTCATAGAGTTACAATATTAAAAGACAGGATAATTCAGCTAAGCTGTTTCATCTCTGTTGCTCCATTTCTAAAGCAGTATTTACTGGGGAAGGATTTTCATTTTTTATTTTTGGACTGATTTTGCTTGAAATGCTCCAAGAACAAGGTCTGCTCATTAATACCTGCTAGGCATGTTGTTTGCATTGAAATCATTCATGCGGAAGAGCTTGTGAGAAAGGTTTTCGCTCTTTTCTTGTTTCTACCTCTTGGCAAATGGTTGCTTGTCAACATATATAAGCACCCGTTGACTCAGTCCTTTACTGCAGGTCTTTGGGGTTCTATTTGTTTCCTTTATCACATTTGTGACCCAAATTGTGCTATTTCATGTGGTTACATGGGATCCTGGTTAGGAAATTTATCATTTGATTTGGGCCATGTTTCTAAGAAAAGTTATCTGTTAAGTTGCACATTGTCAAAATCAATTCCATTAAACACTGACTGAATACTTTTTTAAACATGTTTTAAAATGTAAAATTTCAGGAGTCTTCTTGGAGAGAATATGATGCCTCTTTAAGCACTTGCTCCCCCTGATCTTGAGGAACGTTCTTCTTGTCTCTCGGGACAAGGTGGCACATGCCTGACATCTTTGTCATGCCAAGCCCAACTTGGAGCAAGGAAAAGTAGCTGTGTCTTAGGGTTAGCATTGCTGGGATGAAACGTCATGACCAAAATAAACTTGGGGAGGAAAGGCTGACAAAGCCTGAATGATGATCATTGAAGGGGAAGCCTTGCCAGAAGCTCAAACTGGATGGGAACCTGGAGGCAGGAGCGAATGAAGAAGCCATGGAAGAGTGCTGAGTACTGGCTTGCTCAGCCTGCTTTCTTACAGCATCCCGGAACACAGCACAGGGAAGACACCACCCACCACTGTCTGGGCCTTACCACATCATTAAATAGGGAAGTGCCCCGCAGGCTTGCCCTTAGCCTCAGTTAGGGAGGCGTTTTCTTATTTGAGGTTCCCTTCTCTCACACAACTATAGCTTATGTCGTTAACCTAAAACTAGCCAGCAAACACTATGTCTGTAGTGATTTGGTTTGGTGAGCCTGCTTCTGTGGAGCATCAGAGTGTGACTGAGGGCTGTTTAGTGCAAGCTTTCCTGGCACTAATTAGTGAACATGTTGCTTACTGTGTAGCGTGTGCACCATTTTTCAGGTGCTTTTCCCGGGGATAATGGGTTGTGTGTATCAACCATAGTGACAATTCACTGCACTTCTGTACAGTGAGCCATTATTAGAAAGTGAGACCACTTTCTAGGTGGCTCTGGAACAGAATTGTGTGACTGAGTTTGCATGTCTGTGGCCATGCTGGTCATTTGGCTGGTAGCATTTGGCTACACCTTTGGAAGGTGCCCAGTGAGGGTTGTCATAAAAATAAAAGTTTAGGCTTTGTTTTAATTTTGGAGGGGCAAGTAAAGGTAGATAAAGAATGCCTTGCCCTGCCCCATTTCCTGGTTAGGGTTGGAGAGGGTGTGTGTGGAGTACTTGCTGTCAGCTGGGGTGACACTTACTAGAAGTAACTCTTGATACTATGAAATGGCAAAGAGAGTGAAAGAGAATTGAGAAATCACTAAGGACTATGGGAAATGCATCAAGTTCTGTTTTATACATGAATCAACTAGTTTACATTTTGCACCCATTCTACAGATGGAGTAGGGTCAGGGGTTTTATAACCTTTGCCACTGGTCACTGGTGGAGGGAAGTTTTGACAGTCTCTCAATGATGGCAAAACTGTTCCCACTTTTTCTCCCTAATGGGATTCTTTTCCCTGAATGAAGGCCATGGCAGTTGGTGTGGTGACCTCAGCGACTTTGCTTCCCTCTGAGAGTCTGCTCTTCTGATTAGTCAGAATCAAACTGTGGTACCCCTGGAGTCTGGGACACTTGTTGATGAGCGGAGGTTCTCTGACACCTTGCTCTGTAGTCTAATGCATTAAACCCCTTTTGGCATTGGGGCAGAGTCTTAAGTCTTGTAGCTGATGATGACATCAGATGTGGCACAGCTGAGGACCACCAGTGAGCTTGACTT